AGGAATCTCTTTGATTTCACTTAAACTGTCAAATTTAATCTGATCTAAAATATAAAAAACTGTCAAATTTATTGGCATAAAGTTTTACATAATATTTCTTTATTATTCTTTGAATATTTTAAATGTCTGATATCCCTTTTTTCATTCCTGATACAAGAAAATTATATATTATCTATTATCTTGTTTATCAGTCTACCTCAGTTTTTTTTATTGCTCTTTCCAAAATTAGCTTTTACTTTCATTGATTTTTCTTTAACTTTTTTTCTGATATCAACTTCATTTATTTCTGTTTTTATATTATTTCCTTACTTATAGTTGCTTTGGTTATATTTGCTCTTTTTTTTTTAAGGTAGAAGCTAAAATCATTGATTTGAGGACCAAACTCTTTTTAATACAAATATGTAATGCTATAGATTTCCCTCTAAAAGCTGCATTAACTGCATCCTACAAGTTTTGATATGTTGTATGTTAGGTTAAAAGAAATAAGATTCAATGTAGCTTCCTTCTTGATTCATGGATAGCTTGGTTTAATTTTTATGTATGGGATATTTTTCCAGGTGTCTTTCTGTTATTGATTGCTATTTTAATTCCACTGAGGTAAGAAAACAAGCTTAGCATTTTAATGCTTATTAATATAAAAAGCCTGTTCTATGGGCCAGAATACAATCTCTTTTGGTAAATTTTTCATGTGCACTTGATAAAAATATATATTCTACTGCTATTGGATAAAGTTCTCTATAAATGTCAACTAGATAAAATGGGTGGATTATATTCTTCAGCTCTTCTATAACACTACTCATTTTCTGTTTATGATCTTTTAATCATTGGTATCTGGTATTCAAATCTCCTATTAAAATTGTGGGTTTATTTCTCCTTGTAGTTTAACTGGGGTTTATGCTTCATTTATTATGAAATACTGTTATTAAGGATGTAAGTATTCAGGATGGTAGGATATAAAAGACCTGAACAATAGTCAACTAACTTGACCTAGTTGATATTTATAGAATGAAACTGTCTTCTTGTGATTATAGTCAACAAAGTAATAAGAAGACTTATACAAAAATATTCACACAATTTTAATAGCAAAAAGTAGTAATTAATTGTCCAGAACTATAGGAACTGATGCATAAAACTGTAGTTTATTCATATTATGAGTACTATGAACTAGTTAAAAATAAATAAATCTTCATGTACCAATTTTGTTAAATCTCAATAACAAAATGTTGAGTGTAAAAAAACAAGATGCAAAAGAATATGTATAATATAATGGTTTTCAGAATAGCAAATATCTATAAAACCAACTATTTTCTTAAGAAAAGGGGTATTTATATCACTATACACCCCCCAAATTTTCAAAATCCAAGAAGTTCTAATAAAAATATTAAGTGAAATAGAAATATGAAATGCTATTTAACGCAACTGAAAAATATATATTTCAAACCCTCTAGCAACCACTGAAAAAAGTAAATGCAGAGATGAAACTAATAGGCCAACAGTGGAAGAGAACTAATATTCATACTAAACACCAAATAATCCAAAAGAAAAGAGAAAATAGAGGATAAAAAAGAGATGGCATAAATGAAAAACAACTAGCAAAATGACAACTTTTAAATCCTACCTTATGAGGAAAACACTAAGTATCAGTGGCTTAAACAGTGCAATCGTAAGACAGATTATAATGATGTATTAAAAAACAATATTAAACTATTTATTGTCTGCCATGAATAAACTTTAATTATTAAATTACACAAGTGAACAGAAAAAGATGGTGAAAGATATATCAGGAAATACTAATCAAAAGAAAGCAAGAGTCACTTTTGTGAGTATTTCGAGCCAAAAGAGAGAGAGAGAGAGAGAGAGAGAGAGAGAGAGCTTAACCCAAGTTAAACAAGATAACTCAAGAGGACATGATGATCTATAATACTTTGGCACCCATGAATAGAGATTCAAAACACATAACACAAACAAAAAAAATGATAGCATTTGAAGGAGAAACAGAGAAATCCACAATTAAGTTGGAAACATCAATATTTTACCTAATGAGCAGGAAATAAAACATCCAAAAGGAGGCAGAAGAACTGTAAAATCCTAAGGCCAGCTGACCTGGAGGACATTCATAGAACAGTCAACCAAGGACAGCAGAACACAAGTCCTCACTGGGTGTGCATGGGACCCAGACCAAGAGAGAACATGTTCTGGGCTATAAAACAAATCCCAACAAATTTAAAAGGATAGAAGCCATTAAAACATGTTCACTGGTCACGAGGTCACAAAGGAATTCAGCTAATAGGAAGATCTAGAAAAATTCCAAATATGTGGAAGTTAAAAATATATTATTACATAACTCAGAGATTAACCCATTAAGTACCATCATCTCAGATGTGGAACATCTATATAACCTTAAATGGAGCAACAAACATACCCCTTTTGGGTAACTTTTGCAATAAATACTATGCTTTCAGAGTTTTTCTTTGGGAAAAAGTAATAGGTGGATAATAAGTGTTTGAAAATGTACACATTTATATATATATATACATACATATATGTATATATATATGAAAATATAAGGGATTTATAAACTCCGAATTATGATTTTCAACTTATTTCAATGCATTTCTGTCAATTTTCTGAAATACTCACAGAATTGAAAATGTAGAACTTAATGAGTGAACAAAGAAATCATAAGGAAAATAAGAAAATATTTAACTATAATGAAAATACAAGGTAACAAAATATATGGGGTACAGAAAGAATAGGACTTAGAAAGGAACTATATAGAAAAACATAGAATTACATGTGCATATGAAGAAAGAAAGAAGAGGTTTCAAGTTAATTGTCCCACTCTCTAAAGACTAGAGAAATATAAGCAAAAGAAGCCCAAATAAGCAGAAGAAACGAAACAATAAAGGCAAGAAATCAGTGAAGTTGAAAAACAAAAAACAACATGGAGAAAATAAAAAAATCAAAAGCTGATTGTTTGAAAAGATCAATTAAATTGATAACCCTTTAGGCAGACTGATAAAAAAAACAGAGAAGACACAAATGATCAATATTAGGAAATGAACTAAGTACAGCTACATTCATCAAAATGGCTCAACTGCTACAATATACTATCTAATGGAAAAAACAAGTCATTATTTATATAAAAAATGAAAAATATAAAAATGAACATGCTTTTAGCATAGAAAAACATGTAGTAAAACTATACAGAAAAGCATCTGAACAACAATCACTATAATCAAGAATTTGTTAATCAAGAGAATGGATGATGTGATTAGGATCAAGTATACATAAAAGCTTTCACAAGTATAGATATTGCTTTTTTGTTCCTCAGGTTGGATAAATGAGTGAGTTTTTTCATTGTTATTAGTTTGAAACCACAGGGGTTGGAGAAAATCAATATCCTTTCCCCAATTATTTAAACAAAAATAAACCTGGTTATTTATTTATTTCAATTTTTTGGTACTGAGGATTTTACCTAGGGTGCTTTAACAATGAGCCACATTACCAGCCCTTTTATATTTTTTATTTTGGGACAGGGTCTCACTAAATTGCTGAGGGCCTTGCCAAATTGCTGAGGTTGTCCTTGAACTTGAAAACCTATTTGTTTCAGCTTCCCAAGTCACTGGGTTTACAGGAGTGTGGCCACCATGCCTAGCAAGCCCTCTGTATATTCTAATTCCAAAATTTGTTAACAGAAGCTTAATAACTTTCAGGAAAACTTCCAGAATATACCCATAATTGACCAAGGATAAGGCTTGTTGAATTTTTTTCCTTCTCTCGCCATACCATAAAGTCTTGCTATAAATAGTCTAACAGCACAGACTTTAAAATATACTTTTGTTTTTCTTGCAGTGAGAGATAACACATATTAGCCAAATGCACCACTGAAATAAGATGTGAATGTTGAAACCTGTAAACTGAATGACAGATTCAACGCTGGCAATATTTTTCATCAGAACCCCTTTTTGTATGGGTACACTTTCATTTTCCCCCAACCCAAAGCACCTACTTAATATGAAAAAATAAATAGAGATAAGAGAAATCAAATATTTGAATGATAGAGGCTGAACTTTCATTTTAATATTAGTCATAAAATTCCATGAATAAAAAAAAAGAAATGCTGAAATGTTCAATATGGCTTGCTTTTTATAACTGTGTTTTTCAAGAGAATCTGAGAAATGAGCTCAGCATGTTCATTTTGCCACAACTACAAAAGTGTATCCTACTAAACAGGTTGCTCTCTAAATTTGACAAGGGAAAGATTCTAGATAAATCTGTTTATTGAAGACATTCCTTTAGCAGAAACTACAAAGAGACATAGCACAGAGTTGCCCTAACCTGAGCACAGAGACATGTCAGCAACTAGAAAAGGATAAAGCAAAATATAAAACAAAAATAAAAACCTCTTTTTATAATAAATATATTGAAATTTGAAAGAAATAACATGCTAATATGGAAATGAAACCAGTAATAAAGTTCAAATCAATGCCAATTAGTTGGTACCAAACTTTATAAATAGGAACATGAACAGGTAATGACATTTCACTAATACAGATTCCCTCAAACCTGCATGGTTATTAATTCCATCTCATCAAGATATGAAATCGTTCAAATCACAAACATAGGTACTGTAGTAACCTACAGGACATTCCAACATTTTGGCTGCCCTGGTAGTTTAAAACAGCTTTCTGAACAATGCATGTCTTAGCAAAGAAATGGAAGGAGTTGGCTGTATCAATGATTCATATGTAAGTCATCTAGAAACCTCTACCAAAAAGACTTCCACTCCTGCTGTAAATCTTCCTTACTTCATTTAATTGAACAGGCCATAGTCTAATCAAAATTCAAATCCATTTACTTTATTTTGACACTTTGAAATAGCTGATTAATAGAGCCAGTAGGCTTCACATCTATTACATATTTTTTTACATAATTTATAACAGGAAAAATATCTACAGAGTTTATACCCCACTGTCTCCCTCATCAACCCCATGATCATGTATAGAGATCTCTACTGTGCTGTGCCTGGCTGGCGGAAAGATGATCAGCAGGCAGAGGGCAACACTAATGTCTTGCTTATTGATCAGGCTGACTCTGTTTCAAGTCCAGAAGGAAAACAGGTAGATGTTGTAGTCTTCACCAGTGTCGGTATAGTCGTAAACCATCACTTAAAGAACAAACTCAAAAATTAACTTTACAAAAACTACCTCAAAGACTGTATAACATCAGTCAAAAGCAAAGATGAAGAACAGAAACTAAAAAGAGAAAATGTTTTATGATGCTGTTATAGAACAAACCAAGAATGTTCTTACTAATTCCAAAGACTGTCAGTTCTTCCTTGGTGAAAACATGAATCCATATGGCACAGTGGTTCTGTTACTCTCCCATGAGGATATTATCCCACACATGAATTTATTTAAAGGTGATTTTAAAAGGGGATAAAGTTAACCAATCTGGCCACTTACTTGTAATTTATCATGTATCATCATAAATTGTGGCTGCTTTTTTAAATCCACAAAACACCAGAACTTCAACAAACTGAACTAACATCATCTTGAGCACTCATTTATTTATACCTTAATTTATTTGGTGTGGAGGCATTATTTAAAGAACAAATTTAGGCTGCCATAAAACAAAGCACATTTAAAATAAACACACTCCTATCTACAACATAGCAAAAGTGCCCTGCCTATCACTCTCCCCAAGCATCTGAACACTACCGGGAGCCTCCAGCAACAAGGCAGAATTGCAAATAAGGATGAAGTCACCACTGAATCTTCACAGAGGTTATGTTTCTCTTTTCCTGTATGTTAAATTGACTAGTTGGCTCTGTATCTCCATATGAAACAAGCAGATTTATAGTGGCAAAGCTGATTAACATTTTAAAATCCTTTATGAGGAATACCTAAATACTAGCTCTTGCATGCACAAATTTTTCCAGGAAAAATAAAATTAAATTGTGACCCACCCTCCACATAGTGCTATCTTCCTCAGCAATGTGCTAATTGCAAAGATGAAGTTTTCTTATTTCCCTATACAATCACAAAGGACTCCATTGCATAGGATTCCCTAGGTAAGTCTGCAGATTAATCACTGTGAAAACAGCTGGACCTTTTCCTCTCCTTGGAAAAAGTAGGCCACTGGGAGGACTCTTCTTCACATACCTTTGTAGCTGCCAAATAAGAAGAGACGGCTATGATAGTATGTCCATTATGTCTTAAAGGATAACCTTAGTTATTTGTGTCTGTGTATTATTGTTTATTATGCATGACTTAAAATAAACACTAATATGAAAAAATAAACCTCAATCATAACAATTCCATGAAAAGAGAGAGAGAGAGAGAGAATTAGGGAATGCTCTGCAGATCATGGCACACATTTCCACAGATTCTGGGCACACATGGTGCACAGCTGTGGACTAAATCTGGCCCTTGGGGGCCAGGATGAAGGAAAACACAATTAGAGGTGAAATAAGCAGGTGTTTTCCTTTGTTTGCTTTCATTATTTGAGTGGGAAGAGCAAGATAACTTCTGATATGGCAAAGTACACAGAAGAATTCATACTCTTGATCTAATTGCTTTGTCTGTTAATGGCAAAGTGACAGAGTTCTTTCTGGAAATAATTCAGCTACATGCCCATGGACAAGAATGAAAAAAATCTCTTTGTTGGTATGGGTTAAAATTAAAATACGTTTGTGACACTAAATCCTACTCTGCCCTAATCCGTAAATATTAAATGGACATTAATGCAGAATTTAGTCTAGCTCACCTTTTATTACAGATAACTGTAATTTTCTCATTTCTCCTATCAGAAATAAACTCCTTGAGGTCAGGAATGATATTATTCATTTGTGTTTCAAACATAGATCTTGCATAAATATTTATGGAATGATTTGCATCCAGCAGACACACCAAAATATCTGTAGAATGAATCAATTCTGAGTCCCCAAGGAAAATGCTATAAGAACAAAATCTTTTTTAAAATCATGATATTTGAGACAAGTGTAGTCTATTCACACAGGTAACAAATTTCACTTGCTGGTAGTAATTTAGTGCAGCAAAACAAGGTGGACACTTCAAGTAAAATCTTCATGTTTTCAAAATGAAAAGGTAAGAGAATGAAGTCCTTTTTCCTCCCTCTCTTGCACCTTATACCCCATGTGTGTATTCTTATTGTGCTGCACTTAGATCAGTTAAGTAATTTTAAGACAATGACAATCCTAAAGAAGACATTAAATTTACTGAACAAAATCTGTGGGCTGATTTCAGCCTAAAGGCTAACAGTATTATATTAGTCATAATTGTCACTAAAAAATTTCTAGACAGAGTTATGTAAAAACAACAACAACAAAAACACTATTTGTATATAATTTCTGAAGAGGCTATCAGTGTTGAATCAAGCACAAGCAAGCAAAGACATTAAAATACCTCAAGTGACTTTTACATGTATAAGTATACATTTGTAAATTTATATGTGTGTGCATGTATATAGAGTGCACAAAGAAGTCATCATTAAAAGACTAAAAACAGGCCATCTAACTTTTCGAATATATGAATCACAGCCATGGGTGTCCTAGAAATGCTAATTTACTAAATTTCAAATTAAAGGATGACTGCCATAAAGTTTCATCTTGTGTAAAGTTCAAAATTATTTTACTAAGTACAATACATTGGAGGCTTGGATAAATTAAGTTAATGCCAATCTCCCTTTTGTTGCACTTAATCTGCTATATCTGCCCCCATTGGGTAATTGTAGGTCTGTTTAATAGAGGTGCAAAGCTCTTAATCTTCCTCGGTATGATAACTGTAGTCCCACTGTCCTGAGGACAATCCAGAAAACAGGCAGAAGGCAGGAGAACATGATGTTCATTCATCGGGTGCTAATAGTGCTTGTGACATAGGGCATTGTTCTGATTTACTTCAACAAATCTTCAGAGCTTTAAGTGATTTCAATAGAGACTTTAATCTCTTGCTGCAATTAGTGCTCTCCACAGACTGACATATTATCTAATCATTACATCTCTAGCCTCAACAAATCTCACTGCCCTTTTGTTAATTTGATTTAAAAAAAAAGCATCCATGGCTCCAGAATTGGTGATATATATAATATATATAGAGAGAAAGAGAGATAGATAGAGATATAGGAACACCTGCAACTCACAATAACTCACAGTAGACAATATATATGATGTAAACCCTTTGTTCTTAGAATCCCTCCTTCTCAGCAGTTCCTTGATCTTCTCAATGTCGGGAGAACTATATATAGGAAACGGTGAGAAGTCGAAAAGTTATGTTTCTCTATTGATATTGGAGTTTTCCACACTAATTTCAAACACCATGATTATTTCTTGAAAAACTATCTTGTTAACCTCCACGGAGAATCCTGTGGACATTTTCTGTTTGGTCTCTATCTTCGTAAACCCATCGTCCCTCCTCAAAACGGTTTTTACAAAACTAGTAAATTTAACTCAGAATGCAGAAGAATGAAAGACATACAAAAAACCTTTGCTTCCCTTTTTACCAGTTTCTTCCTGTTGTTTTCATAGCTACCATCAAAGAAAGAAAGGGAGAGAAAACATGTAACATTAAACATAATTCACCAGATTTTTTATCAGCATCTATAAAGATAGAAAGGGACATTAGAAAGGGGTATGGTTAAAATATTTGCCAGGATAAAGTCTTCCAACAGCCGATTATTGTAAGCACAGAGAAATAAGTTGACTGAATTTCATATTTTTTCTACACCTTGCCTTTATTTCTGTTGCATATTCTATCTTGAATATTCATTCTTCCTAACTGCAAATTCTACTAAGCCTTCAATGCCATTTCAAATGCCATTCATTAGTGAAGCTAAACCGTGTACTATCGAGACCAAACACACTATTCTCTCCCCAGTATTCTAAGAATATTTTTTATACTTTATATTTTATAATCTGAAATCCCACTTATCCATCTCTCCTCCCCTATTACTAGGTTCAGAAACATAGTGCTACCTAGAATATATACATATTTACAGAAAATTTAGTTGTCAATAAGTCTATAAGATCTCTCACACACAAACATAAGTCAAAAGGCAGAGCAAAACTCAACAAATCTTTTTAATGAAATATACAGTCATTAAAATTTTATTTTTCAAATGTTAGAGAAATTTTCTGATATAATGTTAGATGAAGAAGAAAATTGCATAAAATTTTGATTTCAACTGTTTCAAAATATATATCAAAAAGAATGAAGAAATACAGCAGAGTATTAGCTATAGTATTCAGGATCTTAAAATGATAAAATGTATTTATCCTCTTTCAAATTGAAATGAGTGAACATAAACAAACTTACATCCATTTCAGTTTCAGCTGAAGAAGGTGAATATAAACCTGTTGGAAACTTCAAGGGATTTTTGTAAAACATATCACAGAAGAGATCAGAATAAAGAAATTTCCTAACTTGGAAGAGGGTATTACTGATACCACAAGTAGAACCCCTACTAGCAAATCCCTAACCCTAGGAGGCAGAGACTGTAGGTGAGAGTGGACTGTGAGACAAATGTCGACACCATTTCTGCCAGCAGCTCCCAAGGGAAGAAATTGCTCCCACACAAGGCCCAAAAGTCTTGGGCCTTGGTACTCATTCCTCACCTCCCCTTAGAAGAACCCTTAGTGAGACAAGAGAAGTTCCTTGGGTGAATAATTGAAGAACACAGTCTCAGATTCCTGTAAGTCTACTTAGCTAACCACTTCCCTCAAAGTTAGAGTGTCCAACTATTTGAGTTACAATAAAAAAATAAAAACAAATATTCTGAAAACATGTTTATCAAATGTTTATCAAAATATAGGTGAGATTACTACCAAAAGACTGCTTCCTGCTCTTTCTCTATATCTTCAAAAGCAGTCAGACCTAATATGGCTAAATAAAATGACAGTAATTTTATTTTTCTTTCTTCCTTATGA